TCATACTATATTGTAATTGCTTCCTTACAAGCTCCTGTAAATAAAACATCATGGCTTATTTCTTATTTATCTGTATACTTTCGTTCTGAGCACAGTGTTACACATACTACACGCACAATAAATGTTTGAATTCAATAGCTAGTTTAATATCAAAACTGCTTTCTACCCAATGTCTAGTCAAGAATCTACCTGTAAACAACTTTATCTGACTAACGGGAAAAGGGGTAATTTTCTGTACTTGTTCAAAAGAAAAAGAGCAGGTTTATATAGAAAAACTGGCAAACTATTTTCTTTTTAATCTCTAAAAAAATAGAATGAAGGCATGTTTTCAAAATCTTCCCCCCCCCCACCACACCCGCCCCCTGTTTTTAAATCTTTTGAAAACTTAGCAAGTAATTTTAATTATTGCCTAAAGGGAAAAAAACCAGTCTTTTTCAAAACTAAAGTTAATTTGACTTTGTTTTGAGGATCTTAAGGAATCCTTTTAAAACTAGATCTATTCTTAAATATCAAGTTACCACAACTAATAATCATTGTAATTATCTAAAAATTATCTATATATAGTTTCAGGGTATTTTATATTTTTCCTGGCACCAACCCTCTTTACTATATGCAAATGATGTTTCAGGATACAGAACATGTAGGACAGAACACATAGGACAGTTAGAGATTAAACCACAGTGGAAATGAAGAGTGGATCGGTCACAACTTACCTACATACACACTGTTCATAGACTTTAACCTTCTTTCTTGTTACAACAGATGAACCATCCATGCCCCTAGCCAAAGACAATGCCTCACCAATGTATTAGGGTCCATCCTCTCTTACTTTCTCAAGGACACCAAACAATTCTCACTCTTGCATCAGTTTTTCCCTTTTTACTGAATCATTGCAAACAATTTAAGAACATGCTATTATTTCTCGTATCTTAAAAAAAACAACCAAAAACTGCATGTTCGCATCCCCTCTTGAGCTACTGCAGTACTTTCCACTTTTCTTCTATAGCATAAGTTTCCTTCATAGCATAAATTGAAAGCGCTGTTTATCTACCTCTTAATCCTGTGATTAGCAGTCAATTTTCAGTCTTCCTTTATCAGTAGCATTTGACACAGTCGCTAATGCCTTTCTCCTCCTTGAACACTTTCTTGGCTACCACATTCATCTGACTTCTCTCCTTTCTGCTTCTTTTGCTAGCTCAGCCTCATTTTGATACCCCCTAAAAAATGTTTAAGTGCTCCAGGGCTCATTATTTGGTCCTCTTTTCCCTTTACATCCCCCCCTCAAATCTTCTGGCATTAAATACTATCTATGCCAATGACTCCCAAATTTATTTTTCTTGCCTTAACTTTCTCCTGAAGTCCACACTTCAACTGCCTACTTAATAACTCCTGAATGTTTGATAGCCATCTAGAAGTTGTTTATAAATATGCCTCAGGCTAAGCTCCTGATGCCCACATCCCCCAACTTCAATCCAGCTCTCCCCTATACAAACTAGTTTCTCTTGCAATCTTCCCTACCTCAGTGGGGCAACTCTTTAATTCCTGCATGCCTACAGACAATTCAAGCTTCAAAATAAATGCAGTATCACAACAGACTACTATTAACATAAAAGGAACAAAGCACCAATATTCACAACAACATGGATGCTCAGCTAAAAATAAAGTTAGATAAAAGAGTGCAGCCTGTATGTGAAATTCTCCAAAAGAAAAATCTAATCTACAGTGGTTGCCCGGGGCAAGGGATTAAGTGTGGGGATAGAAGTAAATAATAAAGGCATTTTTTGGATGATAGAAATATTCTGTATCTTGATTGTGGTGGCAGTTATATGAGAAAATAAATTTGTCAAAGCTCACTTAACTATATAATATGTAGATTTTATTGTATGCTGATCATACTTCAATAAAGTTGATTAAACACAGTTCAATCGTTTCTCACTAGGTTCTTATTCCCACTGCTACCATGTTTCTTTCCAAGTCACCAGCATCTCTCTTCTGGATTACAACAGCCTTCTTTTTTTTTAAGATTTATTTATTTATTATTTATACAAGCACTGGGTACAGTCAGAAGCACGGGAGGGTGAGAGAATTCACCAGAGCCAGAGCGGGGAGCAGAGCAGTCAGAAGGACCAAGGTACACTGCTTAGGGGAGCAGCGGGTGGCAGGAGAGGTCTGCGCACCATGTGGGACCCTCCTCCAGTGGCCGGGGAGCTGGGAATTGAACCAGCCCTGCAGAGGCTGCAGGCAACTTGGCAACCCAGCGCTCAACCGCTGTGCCACCGGGGAGGCCCTACAATAGCCTTCTAAGTAGCTTCTATATCTACTTCCTACATTTTATCCTCAACACAATGGCTAAACTGATACTACTAAAACATAAATCACATCAAGTCATTCTTCTGCTCAAAACCCTCTAATAGTTTCTCATCAGAGTAAAACTCAATGTCCTTTCTGTGGATTACAAGGCCTTACATTTTACCTCTTAGACTTCATCTCCCACTACATCTGTGGTTTTCTGTACTCCTTGCTGTTCTTCAAATATGATATGCACACTCTTCTGCATCTTTCATTTCCTCTCCTGGATGTACTTTACACCACCATACCTCACTTCCGTCAGCTCTTTCACCAAAAGGGATCATCTTGGGGGAGTCTTCCTTTGACCACCCTATCTAAAATTTCAACCCCCACTTCTTCCCCCAAACATTAACTCAAACTCACTTCTATTTCATTTTCATCTTTCCTGCTTTATTTTTTCTCCCCAGGATTTACCACTCTCTAATATACTTATATTTTGCTAATTTATCTTATTTATTGGCATTCTCCTCTACCAGAATAGATGACCGAAGAGACAAAGGCTTTTATCTGTTTGGTTCACTACTGTATTCTCAGAACTTAGAATAATGTTTAAATCAGATGTTGAATGAATAAATGAATATATAGGAACAAATTCTAGCATCTCTTTTAATAGATAACAGTAAACACATGATAAATGTATCAATTCATATTTCATTTGCTTTAAAAAATTCTGGTATATAAAAATCAAAACTTCAACACATTTAAAAATATGCTAATGTACACAGCCAAACTTACTTTCAATTCCAATGAAGCATATAGATCTATCCGACACTGAGAATATTTTATCAAATTTTTCAGATTTTATTATGAGCAAGGACCTCTGAAAGTAAAAGAACTCTCATTACTGCCTAAGAAAAATGTGTGTGCACATATATATAGAGAGGCAGAAAACTGGAGAGAGACAGAGAATCTTACTGAGTTCTTTATAAAAGTCAGATAACCTCATGTTGAGGTTAAGACCCCCCAGAACTACTACTGTACAAAATGAACTAATCATCTGTCTCAGAACTAAAATCCACTTTAAAAATACACATAACTTTTATTTACTCTTGCTGCTTAAATCACTCATTAAAGAAGCTGTTTGTTTTACAGGCTTCCTACATAAATATGGAAGTGTTAAAGAGATCAATTTAATGTAAATAATTTAAAAATAAATCAGTAGAGGTGCCTTTCCTCTAGGGGCCTGAGTCTCTTCTTTAAACAAGCAAACAATACAGCTTCTAGAAGTCTAAAGGAGGTGTCACCTTAGCAACTGCAGAGGAGAGAATTCCATACTGCAGTCTTCACCTGCATCTAGTAGCTCTTCAAATGTATTAAAGTACTCAATTCAAGTAAAGAGTTTCAATAAGTAGGCATTATCTGCTTTACTTTATAAGCAACATTATGCATTAATCAGAAAAGAAAGGCCCTGAGCTTTCATAATAATAAGGTTTAAAATGTTTTTATGAAGTCAAATGCAATGGAAAATTTCAGGAGAGTATCATTTGTTAAGCAGCTCTGAATGAATAATATGAACAAAGAGTAAATATTTTTTCCTTTAAGCATGAAAAATCACACTATTCACCAGTTTTTATTATATATGAGTTGCATCCTTCATTTCTATGTGTCAATTTCTTAAACAAGACAATAAAGAAAAATTGCAATATGCCATGCTAGCACAGGCAAACAATAGCTGCCTAGACATCTCATATGACACATCTGGTCACTGTTAGACTTCAAAAACAAAATATTTTTAAGCTATAAATTTTTAAATTTTTTTTTTTTAATCTTGAAATACCTAGCATTTATCACAGTGCATTGTCACTTGTAGTTCAGAGAAAGTGCTAACATCTCCAAAATCATCTCATTTCTAAGTTCCTTGGACTGCTTTAAACATAAAATAGAGGTTGCTCTAGACAGGCAAAATAATAAAAACAGTGGTAACAAAGCTAATAGACACTGCTAATAGATAAGAGGACATTTAGAACAGAATCATTTAAATCTACTTTTATTTGCTAGTTTCGAGTTTTCAAAGCAAGAGGAAATGAGAATGATCATACAGTACCTTACCCTTTCTACCGGTGAACCATAGCATGCAATGCCGAAACATAGCAGTGGCAGATGGCATTGATGTGATTAACTATCAAAAGGATAATAGCAGAGAAATGAGAGCTGGCAGACAAAACACAGAAATGCAGATAAAATGAATGAAAACTTGCAGTTCTTGAAGCAAAGCAAAACCTTTAAACCAAAGGTTGCAACTAGCTTCAATTTAATTTACATTTTGAGGTTTACACAAACACTGCAACCTTCACAATCAATCTTTAGAATCTTCATGCAGCAGAACCATACTCCTCAATAAAGAAGATCAGCAACCTTCTGTAAACACAAGCCAGCAGCAGCAGCAGCCCATTACTTTCTCCCTTCACTGATTTTTATCTTTTAAATTTTTAATCTCCAATTGCAGCCAGATCCAGTCGTTTCAAATAGATCTGTATCCACTGCAGATACAAATCCCTGCCTAACCTGCAGTACCACTTCATCCAGAACGTTCCTGTGCACTCATTCATGCAGGCTCAGTTGCAAAACCATTTAAGTCATCCAGCAAACAGCCCAAATGAGAAAGAAACAGTTGAGACTATGAAGAGAAAAAATCTCTTCTTTCAGCTCACCCTGGAAATGGAAGGTTTTCTGATCAACAGTTATTGTGAAGGTGCTGTCGTCCTCATCGTCTATACCAATCACAGCTCCCTGTGAAACAAAGAGCAAAATCCCAATAAGGCAAACAATGACATCAGCAATATTCACTACTGCTACAGCCCAGAAATGCTCAATTGCACCGACAACACTGCAAGCAGGTTAGACACAGAAAGAGGGAATCTGAGACTCCAGTTTTGTTAACGGAGGAACAGCTAAAGGACAAGGATGGACTTTCTATGCTAGCTTAAGGGGCAGGGGTGTATTGGGAGGGAGAGGGGACAAACATAGATAGAAGCTGAGTCTAGAATCTGTTTAAGAGCCAGCCACTAAGCCTTTCTACATTTAGTCTGCTCTCTAAAATGAGAGGCAGAAACCTACATCTCAGGATGTTGTTATGAGGCTCAAAGAAAGCGGGTGTTCATTAGATTGCTTCTGTGTTTGTATGTTAGTATACAAATACCACATTCAAAACATCATCCCAATCACTACTTCCTGATGCTCCCATGTCACTTACATATTGCTCTGCTACTGCACCTTCCACATTACACTGTGATTATCTGTCTCTATGTTTGCCTCCTCCCACTGAACCACTAGGACACCTCGGAAGTCAAGGACTATTGTTTTTTATTTTGATGCATACCTCTAAAGTACACATAGTATACGATCTACTTAAAAGCATGAACAAAAGAAGGGGGATGGGAAGTCTGCATTTATAAATTCTTTCCAAAAGGTGGATGGGATGGGTTTTAAAACCTTATTCATTTATTTTGCTATTCAACTACATGCAGGAATTAATGGAAAAAACAAGAAGTTACAAAAAAACATGGAATCTACTGGTCAATGTCCTTAAGTATTCCAGAAAGAAAAGCTAAAATGTGGCATAGGTAAAATGTCCCAAACTGGTGAAAAAAGCAGCAGTGTGCCACAGGCAAAACCAGAGACCTTTGAAAAGGGGGTTAAAAAGATTCAAGATTCAAATGTTTAATCCCAAGAAAAAAGACTACTTAGGCGGACTACTCTTATCCTAGGAGAATTAGGTAATAGAGTCAAACATTCATCCATTTCTTCTCAGAGGCTGTCTGAACCCTAACTCGAATAGTCTTAGTCATTCCTTAGTTTCAGATCGGGTGGGGATTATTACTCCATTTTCAGAAAAGTAAAAAAAGTCTCCGAAGAGTATAATTTACCCAAGGTCATTCAAAAAGTTAATGGCAGAACCAGAACCATTATCATGGTACCAGCATATTCCATGACAGCAAATAATAAACATAGCTCAATGGGAGCAGTTTATTTTGGCTAATTTTATGGTTAACTCATTTAACCTTCTAATCTGTAAGTATTTGATGCAACCACTGATGTCATAACTAAATTCAAAAACAAATCATAACTAAATATAAATACTAGACGTGCTAGATACAACCCTGGAACATTTAACAATAATGCCTGCCATCAAGGAAGAGGTAAAACAAGCAAAGAGATGCATATAAGGCAAAAGTGGTATCTACATGGATGAACTTTGAAAATATTAAGCTAAGTGAAAGAACATAGCTGTATGTTTCATGATTTCATTTACATGAAATATCTAGAGTAAGCAAATGACTTGCTCATAGAGATTAGTAGTTGCGTGGAGGTAGGGGGGTGGGGAGGGGAAGTGGATGGTGGACAGAGGCTTGAGGTGAAATGTAAAATGATTATAATGGGCATGGGTTTCTTTATGTGCTGATGAAGCTCTTTTTTATTTTTTTTTTAAAGATTTATTTATTTATGCATACATGAGCTGGGGTATAGGCCAGATATGCGGGGGGTGAGAGGATTCACCAGAGAGGGAGTGTGGGGAACAGAACAGGCAGACAGACTGAAATACACAGCTGAGGGGCACAGCGGGCGAGACAGGAGAGGTCTGCCTCGCCATGTGGGTTGCTCCCTGGTTGGCCGGGGATCGAACTCGTGCTGCAGAGGTTGTGGATTGCTTCATAGTGCAGTGCTTAACCCCTTGTGCCACCAGGGAGGCCCTGAAGCTCTTTTTTAAATTAATCCCGGCACCTAGAATAGAGCCTGGAACACAGCAAGTTCTCAACAAATATTTGTTGATACCCCCCCAGACATGGAGACTGTATGTTAAAAGGCAGTATCTGTGTAACTTCAGCTGTGCCTGAAAGAGAAAGGTGGGGGAGGGGGAGGAATGTCGAGGATTAAATCATGTTTTTTTCACCTGTGCAGAGAGAATCCATAAAAAAGAGATTATCATAAGAGAAATTTGAATAAAACATTTTAAAATTGTGGTGATGACTGCACAACTGTGAATACACTAAAATCACTGAATTGTATACTTTAAAGGAGTGAATTGTATGGTATGTGGATTGTATTTCAACAAAGTTGTTTTATATTACTCCAACCCCAAAAGCTACTGTTTTTTTTTGCGGGGGGGGAACCTTAACATAAGTTCACTAGTTACCTTGTTAACTCAGATAGAAACTGTCAGGTTCTATACATGTTCTCCACCATTCCATCACCACAAATTGTGATCATGCTACCTCTGAACTACAATTTCAAATTTGCAAGCTCTTTTCCATCCTATGAATTGCTATTGCCTCAATTCAGGCTTTTGACTTCCTGGCTTGGTAATGCAATCTGCCTGTCTTCAGTATGGCCACCTTATAGTTCAGTCTTTGTTACTGCCAGAGTCATATTTCTAAAGCAGAGATTCCTATAGTAGACCCGGATATCTAAAACTTTCCTTGACTCTTCATGAATTATTAAAGTCCAACATTTCTTCATAAGCCATTCAAGAAAGACTTCAAAATCAGGCCCCCAAAACCCTTCCACTGTTATCACTGAGCCCTTTTCTTCTCACCTCAGCAGAGACCATACATGTACAAAATATTTCTTCCACACATTGAGAATAAAACACCAAGCAATTTCACTTTTTTATGTCTTTCCTCAATCTCAATTCCCCAACATTTGTTAAATAAAAGCAAACGTACAACTCCCTCTAGCTACCACCTCTCCCCACTGCTTTCATAAAGGAGCTTTTGGAAAACTGACCTGCCTTAACCTTTCATTCACTCCTAACAATCTATAATAGCTTCCTTCCCTACCACTGCACCAAAATGCCTTCTCTCATGTCACCAATGACCAATTTACTGCTCTCTAGTTTTGTTGTTCGGCACCACTTCAAAGCACTGTTGTTGCTGCTGACCACTTTTCTCTCTTGAAACTTTCTCCTTCAATGGCTCTTTATTACCTAAGCTCTGCTTCAGAAACATTTCTACCCAAGTACCTCTGAAAACCTACAAGGAAGCATTCTTTTCTGGTCCATTACATTTTTTCCCATTTCCCACTCCAAATGGGTCTTACTATTAGCCTCAACGTTCTTCAGTGTATAGAGGCACTATTCATCTGGTACTCTAGCTTCTCAGTTTCTTGATTTGTTAAACTCAAAAAAACTTCATTCTCCTTTAATCAATTATTCCCCATGGCAATATCTCACCTAAATATGTTAGCCACTAGTCACATATGTATATTTAAATAAGTTTCTCAGTCATACTAGTCATATTTCAAATGCTCAATAGTATATCTATAAATTATTTTGGATTTTTTGTATTGTTTAATTAAATTGCTGTGAATAAGAACAGCTATATTTCTTCTACTCCAATCCTTATACCTTATCTATTGGCTAGGACTGACTAGTTTAAGACTGCCGCTAGAGTGGTAGACATTGCTGATTATAAGCGGTGATAGGGGCATCCTTGTCTTGTTATTGGTCTCTATCCCATTGTCTATTGTAGCTATTTAAAACCTTCTCTACTTTCCTTGCAGCCCCACCAACAAGGTAAGGAGTCACTGGGTGGTAACTAAAAACCTGCTCTGCTCCCCATTTCCCCAAAAACATAACTGTGTCTATATTCTTGCTTCTTTTTCATTTCTCATAATGGAAAAAGGCTTCATCCCTTATTATGTTTCTCTAGATAAGTTAGTCTACCATTTTCAACTTTCTCTTTACTAGTTCTTTCCCAGCTGTATTTCCACATGCTTTTTCCTCTTTTTTTTTTTTTAAATTCTTTTAATTGTGATAATATAGGATTCTCTCCATGAGGTATTACCACCATGGGTTAGCCACCATAGTCTACCACGATAGTCCACTGTGCGTCTTCCCTTTTTGTTCTTTCCCCCCACACCTTTTCCTCTTTGGATGCCTCAGTTCTATGGTCTATTTTCAGGGTTAGCATTTAATGTTGTCTTTCTCTGGTTCTTAGCTTGGTTTCTCTATATTCCACTTATTAGTGACAACATCCAGTATTTATCTTTCTCCGCCTGACTTATTTCACTTAGCATTATCTCTCACAACCCCATCCACTCTCCTGCAAATAGTATGAGTTCAACTTTTTTGATAGCTGAGTAGTATTCCATTGCATATATAAATATATACATATCTACATATACACCCATCTTCATAATCCAATCATTTCCATTTGGGGGTATTTAGGCTGTTCTTATACAAAGGCTACTGTAAACAGTACTGCAATAAACATGAGAGTACAGCTTTCCTTTCAAATTGTGTTTTTGTATTCTTTGGATAGATATCAAATAGTGGAATTACTGGGTGATATGGCAGATCCACTTGAAATCTTTTGAGAAAACTCCAGTGTTTTCTGTAGGGGACTGGTTTACATACCCACCAACAGTGTATTAGTGTTCTCTTTTCTTCACACCCTTGCCAGTACTTCTTTCTGGTCCTTTTGATATGGGCCATTCTCACAGGAGTAACATGGTATCTCATTGTGGTTTTGATTTGTATTTCTCTGATGATAAGTGATGATGAACATTTTTTCATGTGCCTGTTGGCCATTTGTATGCCTTCTTTGTAGAAGTGCCTATTTATATCTCTGCCCATTTTTTAATTGGGTTAGTTTTCTTTTTTTTCTTTTTTTTTTAAAGAATTTATTTTTGCCTTTTAAGTTTTTTTTAAGATTTATTTATTTATTTATACAAGCACTAGGTACAGTCAGAACTGTGGGAGGGCGAGAGAATTCACCAGAGCCAGAGTGGGG